GCCTCCCGGGTTCAAGTGATTCTCCTGTCTCAGCCTCCTGGGTAGCTGGGACTACATGCGCCTGCCACTATGCCTGGCTAATTTTTTGTCTTTTTAGTAGAGACGGGGTTTCACCGTGTTAGCCAAAATGGTATAGATCTCCTGACCTCGTGATCCGCCCGCCTCGGCCTCCCAAAGTGCTGGGATTACAGGCGTGAGCCACCGTGCCCGGCCCTGGTTTGGTTTCTGTATCATTTTTACTGAAAGCCTGCGTATTTAAGGCCATGGGATTCATCCTGAGCTATCCCAGGAGTGATGCGTGGTGGGCATTTCTGTGGGTGTGAAACTGGAACTTCTCACGGCTGAGCACAGCAGGTCTGGACAGAGCAGAGTACATGGTCCTCCTGACTCTGCCCCCTTCTCCTGGGCACGAGGAGTCGCCTCACTCTCCCAGGCCCCTTTCTTTCCTGGAACGAAGCAGCACCTGGCCTGCACGGCAGGTTCTCCTGAGGACTTCTGGGGAAGGGTGGGAGTGGGGAGCGCTGGAGCACAGGAGCCGCTGGAGGCACAGCTGTTTCCCGTTGCCTCCAGCCACTGTGTTTTTCAGAACTTGGCTGTGGGGCAGTCATTCTCTTCAGAAGGAGGACGGGTACTTGGAAACCCCTTCCTTTTCCCCGTTGCGATTTGCTGTTAAGTTTTAGATTAAAGTAGAAGTTTGAATTCCATCGCCCAGTGGTTGCGTGAGGACAGCAGCTCCCTAGAGAAGAGGCGAAGGTGCTTGAAGCCAGATGTTGGTCTGTGTGGACCTGTGCTGTCCCGTGTGGGGCCGCGGGACTCGTGATGTGGGAGGACACACTTGCTGCAGAGTGAGGAGAGTGAAGAGGCTGGAGTGTTTCAAACGACTGCATGTTGGGCTAAGTAAAATGTTTTATTAAAATATATTTGGGCCGGGCGCAGTGGCTCACACCTGTCATCCCAGCACTTCGGGAGGCCAAGGCGGGCAGATCACGAGGTGAGGAGATCGAGACCATCTTGACCAACACGGTGAAACCCTGTCTCTACTAAAAAGACAAAAAATTATCCGTGTGTGGTGGCGGGCGCCTGTGGTCCCAGCTGCTTGGAGACTGAAGCAGGAGAACGGCATGAACCCTGGAGGCGGAGCTTGCAGTGAGCTGAGATCGCTCCGTAGACTCCAACCTGGGCGACACAGCAAGACTCCATCTCAAAAAAAGAAAAAGAAAAAAAAAACTGTTTCTTTACTTGTTTTTTTTTTTGAGACAGGGCCTTGCTCTGTCACTCAGGCTGGAGTGCAGTGGCATCATCACCGCTCACTGTAGCCTCGACCTCCCAGGCTCAAACGACCTTCCCACTTCAGCCTCCCGAGTACCTGGGACTACAGGCGTGTGCTTCCACACCTGGCTGATTTAGAAATTTTTTTTTGCAGTTGAGGCCTCCCTCTGTTGCCCAGGCTGGTCTCAAACTCCTGAGCTCAAGCCATCTGCTCGCCTTGGCCTCCCAAAGTGTTGGGATTACAGGCATGAGCCATCGCACCCAGCCCCCACTTTTTTTTTTTTTTTTGAGACGAGTCTCACTCGTTGCCCAGGCTGGAGTGCAGCAGCGCCATCTCGGCTCATTGCAAGCCCTGCCTCCTGGGTTCATGCCATTCTTCTGCCTCAGCCACCCGAGCAGCTGGGACTACAGGCGCCCGCAACCAAGCCCGGCTAATTTTTTATATTTTTATAGAGATAGCGTTTCACTGTGTTAGCCAGGATGGTCTCCATCTCCTGACCTCGTGATCCACCTGCCTCGGCCTCCCAAAGTGCTGGGATTACAGGTGTGAGCCACCGCACCTGGCCTTTTGTGTTTTTTTAAACGTGACTCCCAGGACTCACGTGTGGCTTGCAGCACACCCTCTGGAAAGCACCTTCCACACCCTCAGCTTGGGGATGCCTATGGCCTTCAGTCAGAAGACATCATTTCTGTTTTACTTTGTAGGTCTCACCCCCATGGCCAGTCTGTCATCACGGTGATTGGGGGTGAGGAGCACTTTGAGGACTACGGTGAAGGCAGTGAGGCAGAGCTGTCCCCAGAGACCCTGTGCAACGGGCAGCTCGGCTGCAGTGACCCCGCTTTCCTCACGCCCAGGTAATGACACCTTGCACCAGCACACCCTCCTCCCTCTTCTTCCCGTGGTTGATTATAGGAAGTTTCCCTTTTTGGTTGGTACGTTGGTAAGAGAGAACTTGCTTTCCTTGATGTAATGTGATTAAGTAAACCATATTCAAAACTTTAAAATTTATACCTGGATTTAGGAAAGCTGGGTGAAGTCCCTCTTATCCAGCTACATCCCCAGATCACTGCATTTCTGAGGCTTCAGCAGAATCATGTGGCACAGAGCTGTGTTTGGACACTCGGCTTGCAGGCTCCTTAGCTGTGGGCCGTGGATCACATGGTGGGCTGTGCAGGCTTTTGAGGGAGGCCTCAAGATCACAAGTGAGTCTTCAGATTCATTTCCTTGTAAATATCTGACATCCCAACTGGAAAGCTGCGACTAAATAAGTAGAAGCATGACACGCAGTGGGTGAGATGCCTACTCACAAACGTCCAGAGTCCTCTTGGCTTGGATCCAAACATGGGGTCTGGGTACGCACATCTGAGGGCTTAGGGCTCCCGCGTGGGAGTCAGTCCCTCGAGGACGCTCCTGAGTTCAGGGAGACCCTCGCCTGGCTGATGGGGTTGTTACTTCAATCCCTTCTCCCCTTTGCTGCTAGGTTCTTGTTGTCCATCTTTGCCAGCATTCAAGGCCGAGTCTCTTTAAGCAGCCACAAGAGTCTTCCCTTGCCCGCCACCTGCCCGCTGTTACCGAGGCCCAGGGAACCTGGGTGGAGGGCGGTGCAGGAGGGGCCATCCCTTGAGCTGAGCAGCTCATCTGTCCATAGGGTCCCCCTCCTTTCGTTTCCCATGTGCCCTCCCTGAAGCTACCCATCAGCCCTGGGTGTGGGGACCCTGCACGGATGTCCCGTGTGCTGGTTGGTCCCGGCGAGCGTCCTGGGAGAGCTGTGCGTGAGTGAGGCGTCGCAGGCGTCCTCAGAGGCAGTGTGCTTGTCTTCGGCACTGTCCTCTCCCAGCGGGTGGTGGTGTCAAGACAAGGGCCAGAGGACTGGGCGTTTCTAAACTTGTGTCTCTGGGCTTGGTAATCACCTCTTCCTACCTGTGTAGTTTGTCCCTGTCTCCTGTGCAGTGTTTTCATTGTTACCTGTTTCAAGTGTCATCTATGCTACATTGTATGTTTCACTTTTCACCTTTCTTTACTTGAGCTTCCACAGCCTGTGGGTCCCAGTGCCCAAGATGAGGCTGCCTTTGCTCTTCTGCCTTCGCGTCGCAGACACAGCACCCCCTGCCAGTGCCCCAGAAGCCCTTGGAGGTGAAGTCACAGGGAGGTTAGCTAGCACCACCACGATACAGAACACTGAGTTTTAACGCAGGTCGGTTTTTTGGGCTTTTTTTTTTTTGAGACAGGATCTCACTTTATTGCCCAGGCTGGAGTGGTGCCATCATGGCTCACTGCAGCCTCAACCTTCCTCAGCTTCCTGAATAGCTGGAACTACAGGTGTGAGCTACTACACCTAATTTTTGTATTTTTTGTAGAGACAGGGTTTCACCATGTTGCCTAGGCTGGTCTCAAACACCTGAGCTCAAGCGATCCACCCACCTCAGCCCCCTCAAAGTGCTGGAATTACAAGCATGAGCCACCATGCCCAGCTTTAATGCACATCTTAAAAATCAGAAAACTATTGTAGATTTATCATTCATGCATAGTTTTTGCTAGAGGTGATTTCTGGAGTAATCATAAATATAGTACAGTAAGTAAAGTTTACCTGGAGATATGGTTTTCTATCACGTTGATGTGTTTTTGGCAAAAGAGAAAGCAGTGTGGTTTTTTACCTTCTTTTTAAAGAAGGGCTTTTGCTTTGCAAGGAAGCTCTCAGGCTGCCCCTGCTTTCTTCTGGGCACCTGACCCAGAGGAGCAGGTGTGTGCGGGGCCCCCTGCTGCTCGAGCTGGTGCCTGTCCGGGGCTCCTGGGGGCAGCTGAGGGGTGTGGGCTCACTGCGGTCTAAAGGCAAGAGCCAGAACATTGCACAGCTCATTCTCCACGTGCTTTTGTTCCACACCATGTCCCGTCCTGTCCCCCTCAGCCCCTTGTGCGGAGTCACAGATGACCCCACGGGTCCCCATCCTCTCCTGAACGGATGCTTCTGTCTCTCTAGCACTGACCCTCTTGCCGCAAAGCTGCACAGCATCCTCACTGATGAGGCGTTTGAGTTTTACTGTAGCCAGTGCCACAAACAAATCAACCGCCTTGAGGATCTTTCCGCCCGCCTGAGTGATCTTGAAATGAATAGGTAACTGACGAGCGCCTGGCCTTGCTGTCTGTTCCCAGGGTGTGGGGGACTCCCGATACCCACAGCCCCGTTGAGGGCCTGACCTGACTCCGGTGCTTCCTGAGGCGGGTCTGGTTGCCGCGAGGCCAGCGGGACTCTCCCTGGGGCCCCGCCTCCTCCCCTGCACGCCCCGGGCCGCCGGCGCCCCGCCTCCTCCCCTGCACGCCGCGGGCCGCCGGCGCCCCGCCTCCTCCCCTGCATGCGCAGCTCAGGCCAGCGCTTGTGTTGGTGGAGAAAGTGATCAGTCTTTGCAAGCTGTGCTGTCTGTCCTGTGTGTGAAAGAGGATTCTTTCTGCATTTTACTAAAAGATTTCTTTCATTGAGCTCATGAGACAGAATTGGGAAAGTTAAAAGATTTGGTCTTTAAGAACAAACGTGTAAACAGCTTTCAGGATTGTTAGTTTCAGTGGAGTTTCCTGTACTCACAGCGAGCCTGTAAGGGAGCTGACTGTGTCTCGGCAGGGGAGCTTCTGTGGCTGGCCCCATGTCTAACCCCCAGTTACAGAAGACAGTTTTGGGTGGTTTGCACATATTGACGTGCCTATTAGGCATCTCTGTTGATTTCGCCTGCAGTAAAGCCCATGGGGAAGCCCCTGGGTGGACAGCCCTCGAGGAGGGTCTGGTGAAGAAATGGGCCCCTTTGGAGCTTTCCACAGCAGCCCTAGCCTAGCAGAAGAGGTGAGTGAGCATGCAGGCTCCTGCTGGCAATCCGGGATGGCTTCCTGAAAAACGAGCCCTGGCCTGTTGGGAGGGTTTGTAAAGGTGGCAGAAAGGTGAGCTACTGTTATGGTTCTAGCGTGTTTAGAGGTCTTTGTGAAACTGCTTACTGTCTTGAGCCTGCTTCTGTCCCTGCCCCCAGGGGGCTTCTGCCAAGGCCAGCCCATCCTTGCTGGTGGGTGCTCACTGCTCACAGCCTTGTTGAGGCTTCTGTCCTGCCTCTAGTTCCATTTCCAGGGCACTTAACTCTTCTTAGGTTCCATGAAATGCTGTGAAACACAGGGCCTCCAGTCAGTGCCCATTCAGGTGGAGAGGATGCCGGTGAGGCCCGGCACTGATGGCCACTCTGGAGCATCAGGGGGTCTTGGCAGCACTGATGAGAAAGCAGAAGTGCTCTTTGAAGAGGGCCTTCCTGGGAGACTTGAGGCCATCCGGAATCCGGTGATTCCAAAGATCCGCTAGCCTCTGTTTGAGGGGAAATCGGTTTTCGCCTGCTGTATTTGTTCAGCTAAGGGTTCAGGGCTCGGTGACGATGGCTCATCCTGCCTGGGGAGGGATCATTTGTTCTTCCCATGCAGAGACTTGCCCTCCCACCCACCGGTAAGTTGAGTGCAAGCATATCATCTCCGTATGTGAAAGTAAGCCTGAAGACTCAGGTCTTGTCTCATTCTATGAAGATTTTTGACATAGAAGGGATTTTTTCCCACATTGAGAACTGGCTCCAGGATGGCCATGGTCACCCCTGCTGGGCTTTGTGGGTTAGAGAAGGGACTAGGATGTAGCTAAGTACAACCAGCAAGTCCTGTGGAGCCTCACGTCCAGGTTCTGCCACCCCTTTTCCTAAGACTCTACGAAGCGGGCCAGGCGCAGTGACTCACGTCTGTAATCCTAGCATTTTGGGAGGCTGAGGCAGGCAGATCATTTGAGGCCAGGAGTTTGAGACCAGCCTGGCCAACATGGTGAAACCCTGTCTCTACTAAAAATATAAAAATTAGCAAGGAGCGGTGGTGCACACCTGTAGTTCCAGCTACTTGGGAGGCTGAGATGGGAGGTTCACTTGAACCCAAGAAGTTGAGGCTGCAGTGAGCCAAAATTGTGCCACTGCACTCCAACCTGGGCGACAGAGCCAGACTCTGACTCCAAAAAAAAAGACTCTGCCAAGTGGTTAATATGCTATTCAGTTCAACACAATCAGGGCACACAGCTGCCAGTGAGAACATTCTCCCCAGAACCCTCAGTGGGGGAGATCTGAATCTTGCCTTTTAGTTTCCATGGACTTGCCCGAAAGTAAGCTTATTTGGTCATGCTTTGTGGGTGACAAGAGGTGATTAGTCCAGACCACCTCTGGAAGCTTTGATATCGGATACGATGTCCAGTCACCTCAGAACAGGCCAACAGCTATTGCATTTTCCAGGTATCCTAGAGCCTCTAAATACATTTCATTTTGGAGAAACTAAGAAGCGTGCCTTACATGGAGGTATATTTTCTTTTTTCTTTTTTTTGAGACAAAGTCTCGCTTTGTTGCCCAGGCTGGAGTGCAGTGATGCGATCTCTGCTCACTGCAACCTCTGTCTCCCGGATTCAGGCGGTTCTCCTGTCTCAGCCTCCCAAGTAGCTGGGACTACAGGTGCCTGCCACTGCGCCCGGCTAATTTTTGTATTTTTAGTGGAGACAGGGTTTCACTGTGTCTCAATCTCCGGGCCTCGTGATCCTCCCGCTTCAACCTCCCAGAGTGCTGGGATTACAGGCTGAGCCACTGCGCCTGGCCTGCCTGGAGGTATATTTTCAAATTACAAACGCTGTTGCTGGTCTGCCAGCCCAGGCCCTGAGAGGTAAACTGAACGTTCAGTAGGTAAACTGAATGATGAGTCTGTCCTGTCTTATTAGTTCTAGGGAGTCTCAATAATAGGATAAAATTAGATTTGTATTCAGCCTGGGTGCTGTGGCTCATGCCTGTAATCCTAGCACTTTGGGAGACCGAGGTGGCGGATCACGAGGTCAGGAGATCGAGACTATCCTGACTAACACGGTGAAACCCAGTCTCTACTAAAAATACAAAAAATAAGCCGGGCGTGGTGGCAGGCGCCTGTAGTCCCAGCTACTTGGGAGGCTGAGGCAGGAGAATGGCGTGAACCCGGGAGGCGGAGCTTGCAGTGAGCCGAGATTGCACCACTGCACTCCAGCCTGGGCCACAGAGCGAGACTCCATCTAAAAAAAAATAGACCTGTATTAAAATACACATTATTAGTCTCCAATCAGGAAAGGAGAGCCACACAGTAATTTGAACAAGGAAAGTTTAATACAAAGAATGGACTGGGTGTGGGCTGAAATCCCAGTGCTTTGGGAGGCTGAGGCGGGAGGATCCCATGAGCCTGGGAGGTTGAGGCTGCAGTGAGCTGTGGTTGCACCATTGCACTTCAGCCTGGGTGACAGAGTCAGACCCTGCCTGTAAAAAAAGGTAATACAAACAAACAAAAAATTTTAAAAATCATTAGAGAAAGAAAAAGAATGACTGCCACAGGCTATGGGAGTAATGAGGCACTGGTTGGGATGAGTAAAAAGAACTCTGCAGAGCATAGGGATAGCAGCCACAGGAGCAGCCGCCACCCAGGGCCTGGGCAGAGCCCCCCAGCTGCAGCCACTGCTACCCAAGGCTGAGGTCTGCAGCAGCTGCAAACCGGGTGGTGGGGATACCACCGTGCTGTCAGGGCTTGTGGGGAACCTGCCTCCTGGCTGCCAGGAAAGCTATTCTGTTGCAGGATGCGTGGCAGAGTCACCCCCTAGAGAACAGCTACCCGAATGGGGTCGGGGAAGCCCCTGGTTCTGGCTACAGTGGGCAGGATGCTCCCTAGAGTGGGGGCTAGCGAGGCTGCGTGTGTTGGAGGGCCCTGCAGAGAGTGGTCAGAACCAGGAGGCAAACCTCTTCCTGCTGTGTTCGCTCCACGGCTCCCTCTGCTGATGACACGCAGCATCATGGAGGAGGAGCCTGCTAAGGGCCCAGCGCTGTTTCTGCAGGGCCAGTAAAAAGGATGGACTTGGAGCTGAGGGGCTCTACATTAATACCTGGCACAGCAGCTGATTCTCCTCCAGCAGATTTTATTTTATTTATTTATTTTTTTGAGACAGAGTTTTGCTCTTTGTTGCCCAGGCTGGACAGTGGCGTGATCTTGGCTCACTGCAACCTCCACCTCCCGGGTTGAAGCGATTCTCCTGTCCCAGCTTCCCGAGTAGCTGAGATTACAGGCACGTGCCATCACGCCCGATTATTTTTGTATTTTTAGTGGAGACAGGGCTTTTCCACGTTGCCAGGCTGGTCTTGAACTCCCGACCTCTGGTGATCCGCCCGCCTCGGCCTCCCAGAGTGCTCGGATTATAGGCATGAGCCACCATGCCCGGCCCCTCCAGCAGATTTTTCTGCCTGACCCTGGAAAGAAAATCATGGGTGTTTTTGAGACAGGTAGGCTGAAGAGAGATGTGGCTTTGTGAGTTCCAGGATCTTGATGGTTTCCAGGCCCTGGGGGTGAGGGTGTATTCTTGCAGGCTGAGGCTAATAGTTTAGCAGCTATACTGTAAAATACAACTTTGGACCTCAGAAATGAGAGAGAAGGTAAGTTTGGCTCATGTGCCACTGCAGATGGTTAAATCAAACAGTTGATGTATAATTGGCTACATTTACTGCCCTGAAATGGCAACGGGAAAGGTGTCCAAACTGATGCCTAGGCAGGCGTTCTGAGCATGATGCATCAGTGCCTAAGTCGAAGTCAGCGGCAAACTCTCCTGTCATAGCGGGATCTGGGGTCACTTTTCACTTGGGGGTCTCCGAAGGCCAAGCGTTTGGGGGTAATTTGGCTTCAGAAGCATTGGGACAGTGCAGCCAGCTGATGGGACCAGGTGTGGCGCTGGCCCCTCAGTCACAGTCTGGGGTGGCTGCATCTGGAAGCCTCTTTGGGGGCTGGAGTAACGAGACGTATGCGGCCTCATCCCAGCACCCCCGTGTCCTTGCTGTTTTGCTGAGTGAGCGTTTGTGCATGGGCTTGCCTGGGGGGCCCTGCATGCCGGGAGCACTGCTGAAAGGCTGCCCACCCCGTATCTCCACAGCCTGAGTTTCCTGCTTCCTCTTGCTCCTCTCTGTCTGTTCTAACAATTTTCCTGTTTATTTTGTTTTCTGCACAGTCCGACAAAGCGGCTCTCCAGCAAGAAGGTGGCGAGGTAGGTGGGTCTCTGCTTCCTGCTGAAAAACGTTCTGAAGTGGATAATTAATCATAGTTTTTAAAAAAACGTTGTAGAAAATGTTCTTTTCCGAGGTATTTTTTAAACTCCTGCAAGTTACTTTACATGGTTTGGGGCTGAAGGTATCCTGAGGGAGTGTTGGGAAAGGGGTTTCCGGGGCTGTGAACTTGGACCCAGATTTGTGACCAGGAGGTAGGTGTCAGAGCTTTTGGTGCTGGGCCTGTTGAGTGTTCACTAAGGTCTGGAAGGGGCCACCATCCCCACGTCTGCTCTATGTTAGTTCTGAGGTACCGAGACCCAGTGAGGAGCCTGACTTCTCAGAGCCGGGTCTGGGCAGCTCCCCAAGGTGAGTTGAAGGTGAGGGGTGGGTTTGACTTCAATTCCTAAAGACCATTTCTTCATTTTTCAGCTTTGCATAGATCTGTTGGCTTCCTGCTGTGAAAGATGGCAACATACACTTTTATCTTCCTCCCCT